ACGCTGGCACCGCAAGAGCGCTGCACGTAGTGGTGACGGGTGCCGCCGTGGGGGTGGTGGGGGGGGGGGGGGGGGGGGGGGTGGGACTCCTGTAAATTCTTGATGGGGGTGTGCCGCCCGGTTCTCCAAACCCTGGGCCTATATCAGACCAAAAAATGCCATTTTTCACACCCGCTTTCAGCCCCAACCTCTAAGTAATTATGACATCATTTCTTAAATCGACTTTTAAAATAAGAACGCGAGTTCTCATATTTCTTCCTCTCTGATTTATTTGGAATTGAAACGACAAAAACGTTCATACACCACCGTCTCGAAAACTATACCTGTTTCCTAGACCCAGACATGGCGCAAAATCCATACCCTTTTGGGACGGCACATACTTATATAGCTCACATAAGGGAGAACCCCCCGGGGTCAGTTAACTGACCCATTCAGTTGGTTTTTCCCAGTTTTTTTAGGGACATTTTAACCAATCATAATACGCGTAGCATCTCGACCTCAGTTATTGGTAAATATAGATCCTGCGGTTTAGGGGAGGGGACGCCAACAATTCAGAACAATTTCATTATCAAGGTTTTTTTAGAAACTCCAGATTATAGGATTAGCGGGGTTGTTGTGCATTAATTTTCAGCCCGGGATTTTCAGCCCAGTGAGTCTTTGGTTACCTTTAATCGCTCTGCTTTATCACCCTTTGATCGCTCTACTTTATACTGTCAATATCTTTAAAAAATATACCGGCCTGGATAATGTATCTCCAAAATGTCATCATTGTGCTGTCATCGTTGGCAACGATTTGCTATTGTGCTTAAAATTTTAAAAACCGCAAGAGGATTCTTGATGTGTTCTTTGTTTTCAACATTTATAGTCTTATTGTCAAGTCATCGAAACGCCCAACTATTTAAACGCCTCGACTCTTAAGAAAACAAAGAAATCAATATTGACAGTCTGCAATACTTTGGTGTTGTAAGTCAATTTTAGTCTTCATCATCGCATTAGACAATTTCACAGGACAGGTTTTACCTACAAACATTTTATTTAGACAGTCGGAAAAATTACTAAAACCAATATTAGAGTGTTGAGATGGGATTTCAACCGCCCCCAACCCACGAACTAGCCGGATGGGGCAAGTTGTACTTATCTATCACAGGAGCTGGTATTATCAGAGTTTATGGAGTTCGATAAGGGTAAAAGCCCATTTGTGAAGTTTTATTCTAATCCATGAGAAAATAAAACAAATCATTGTTCGGGTAACGACTTTAGTTGACGTCAATGTAAAAACACAGCAAGGAAGGCCAGTCAACGTACAAGAAGTTTGTTCTTACGTACACATTTCCCATATTTGCATAAAGTGGTTGTAACTTATGACTAAAAGTTCTGATCTTGGTTGCTTAAAGTGATCTAAGCCTGTTCTCCCACAAATCTAAACCAGCCGCAAAGAAAAATTTGAAAAATGCGTTGTTCGGTTAAATCTGTATGTCTTTTTATCCACCTGTTCCGGTTTTGTGCTGGTTTGCTCCGTAGGTTCTGCGTTTGTTCCTGTGGCTCCCGCCCTAAGGGCAATTTGAAGATGTTACGTAGACATGATGTCAGATTAATAAAATCTATCCTTTTGTCATCGAAACTATAAGCACAGGAAGAGAAGGCTTCCTTTCTTGTTTGAATGAAATTCTTCTGTGTAAAATTCATTAGTAAATTCCAAACAAACCTACTGCATATTTTTGCTGCCATTACGATGAGGGTATTATGAATATTTTCATACAGCACTCAGAGATTCTACGGCTTATGAAAACACTTAAAAAACAAAGGCTTGTAATTTCAAGAAATGACCGTGATTCCCTTTAAGAGTTTAAGGTCAGAAAACTTGACTTTGTATCAGCGTGAAATTTATGTACATTATGGAATCTACAACAAGAATTAACTAGGTCACGCTATCTGGAGCAATCGATCTGTAAACTGTTCTCTAAGTTACCAAGCAGTGCTTTCTCTCGTCCTATACCAAGATGTTAATTCTTTGACCGATCTTTGTTTCAGTTTTTACTATATGGAATTTTTGTTTAATTTTCTGTCTGAGTAAAACTTGTCGTATCTCAGTTTAACGGCTTTTTCAAAACTTTTGACCAAAAAACCCCGATTTAACTTAGAAGGGCCGCGGGACACTGCATCAGGAAAATGAGCTATTTTAATAACAGATTAAACTCATAATTAACGGGGTAAATTTACAGAAAGCGAAAGAATTTCATCATTGACAACTCACTACTTTTGCTTTTTATGAATTAATACATTCTGGCAGTAGAAGCCTACAGTAATATATTACGTGTACTGATTCTAGACTGACAATTGTCGATTACTCTTTATTTCGTTGAGATTTAGAAGCTAACCGCGATTTTAACTCAGAATAGAAATTAAGGAAGATATCGATTGCAGTTTACTAACGCTTTATTCTAAGACATTCAAGTTTGTTGAACATAAAAACACAGAAAAAGACCTTCAACCGTTCAAATAGTTTGGATAACGCTATGGCCACTGCACTAAATACTTAAGGCGTCAATTATATCCGCCAAATTTTTTCTCTGTATATTAGACAATGGCTTGACAACTCTACAATCGGCAGACAGATTAATCCACTTGTCGGCCTTAATGTCGCTGCGAAATATCAGCATTTGCAAGTTAAGTAAAGACAACTTACCAAAACCTTCGACGATATCGGTAGGGTAGGTTTTCCACAAGATAGTACAGTGATTGTACATAAAACAACCAGTAACAGCGAAAATCTTGTCATTGTTTCAATCAGGACGTCAAAATTAGGTGGCAAATATCAAGATATACTGAACGTTTTGATCAAGAAACGAAGTTTCACAAGAAGGTAATTATAAGTGATCTCGTTGAGAGTTGCGAGCTACTGATGCTCTGTCAATTCAGGTCAGAGGCTTAAGTTAATGGCGTAGAGTAATTTGCTCCTTTTATAGCGAACAATGTTGGCTTTCCGCCTTTAAAGACAAAAACAGATCCTGCTGTTTTGGAAGGCAGTAGGTGGAGGTAATGTGATGACAAACCCAAGGAAATCCGGACTTATTTTGTCAAGCTTCGACAATTAAAAACCACCTATGTTTTGTTAGAAAATTTATATAAAGGTATTCCACACCTTTGGTGTGTATTTTTAGCTCTCTGGGACTTAAAACCTTAACTGAAACAAAAACATAATTAATGTTTCAGTAGGGGAAATTTTTGTGCAGTTTTCGTGAGTTTTTAGAAACTTAGTAAGAAGTTTATCCGACGACCGTCCAATATCCAAGTGTTTTCAGTTTCGATGCTACAAAGTAATCTTCCAAGGAAAAACACTCTTTTGCGGTTTTGTGCTAATGATGATTTACGTAATTTTTGGCGCCATCATGGCTTAGATTAGCTATGCACCTGTAAGCATTGTTGTT